TAGTACAAAACTGAAGCATTCAAAATCTAAGCATTACAATTTTTAGTTCAAGTCTTCATCATCAATTTATACGCTTTCAAAGTAGAAAAGAGGGAGGCGGAGGGGTGAGACAGAAAACAGAAAAAATTAAAGGATAGTGTTAGCTTTTAGGTCCACGTAGCAACTCAGTAAACAGAAGCAGTTACAGTTTATAAGATTTGTTGAGTGAGATGGGACCACCGAATTAAATGACTAATTAATGAAATCAAAATTCAGTTACCAAGGAAGTGAGAGGTTAATCACACTTTCTTTCTATATGCATTAGTCTGGTTTGAATCATTTTATTTCGATCGCTTCGGCAAATTGTAGTAAATTTGCTGTCCTTTGTCTATTTAATATTTTGAAGGACTAAGAAATTTCCACGATATGCCCAGTATCAACAATATGTCTGGTAATTGTACTCTGAGAATATTTGCTTCCTTTCAGGCACAGATTTCTAGGAATATGTTCAGAAAACCGGATAAAAACCCTTCTTTCTGTCCTTCCAATGTACTTGCTCCCGCAAGTGCACGTAAATTCATAAACACAGTTGGAGGTGATATCAGCAGGGTATTTTTCAAGCTTCGGGCGGCTTATAGAAAAAGTGATGCTGTATAAAGTTATAAGTTTAGCTTCAGGGAAGCTTCTTTTTCCGGCACCTTTCAGTCATTTGTCAATCTTTTGTGACACTGCATCTCCTATGAACGGCAGACAAATAAACACTTCCTTCCTTTTCTACAGTTGGGTGTTTTTCTTTCTTATCTTTTTCTCTGCTATACTTTTGCATAAATCCCTCAGGAAGTGTGCAGCTGTTGAGAGCCTGTGAAATAGAATGATGGTATCATTTCATATTGCAAATTTCGTCTTCCTCTATTTTTATCGAAAAATTGCACCTCTCTCCTTGCAGTTATTTACCAGTTGTGTGTAGGATCAGAGTAATGTTACTAACGGAGGATTGAGTAACAGTTATTTGCAGTCAGTTTTACTTTAATTTCCTTCACCTTGATTTCAAAAAGATTTGATCGGAGATTTTGAAAGTTACTATCTCTCATCTGCTAGTACCATGAAATATGTCATTCGTTAAGAAATAGTAACCAGGAGTTTTCCTTATTCAGATTCAAATATATAAAACAAACATTTTGACTGTCAGAAATAAATGAGATTTCAATTACAACAGGTGAGTGAAAGCTTCTGATTGTGGATTAACAAAAATCTGGTGTCTATTCACCAGCTAAGACTCCTGTTTACCATGGAAAATATCAATTACTTAGGAGCCAATAAAGATACATTTATCGTCTCCTCAAAAGTTTTTCAAATTCCTCCAGTCCATTTTTTCTAATTTCAGGAAGAAGTCTCCAGAGTTTCGGATACACTGGTAACAGGTGTAGAGACTTGAGAGATAAGAAATATAATGTAGTTTGTGCAGTCAAACAACCTAGATTAGTACGAAAACATTAAGTAGACTAGACAATACTTTAGGGGGGAAAATCAAATAATGTAGTTTACCGGAGACTCTTCTTGATTCGCCCACCTGATTAGGGATGAATAGATGGGATCGTTTTCAAAAGAGTTATTTCAAATTCAAATGGACAATATACTAACCTAAATTGTATACCAGGTTTTCCGTATACTCTAGAAAAGAACTAAATCTTAAATAATTTACTAAAACAATATTTAAGATTTGAGGGATTTTTAAGCTGAAGGCATTCGATTAGGCAGCTTAGCCATATGAAATGCTGTCGTCTAAATTGCTTACACGTAATCAATAAATAACCAAGCAAAAACATCTCTTTGTAGAGGTTGCAATTTCTTACCGTTTATAGAAGGTTTCGTTGTTGTACACTCTTAGTGTTGCTGAGTGTTTCTGGTCTGACAGTATACAAGCACACTGGATTAGAAAGTGATCTATTTCCAACAACAAGATCTCCACATCACTACATGAGACGTAACTATCAGTCATTCAGAACTCACACTAGACAATTCTCTCCATCAGTAAAATAACGTAAATCAAAATTGAAAGAACTCTCAGTTAAGTGTTTAGTATCCGAATGGCGAAGAGTGTCGCCGTTTGCCTCTAACTGTTCGTCAACATTTACATTTGTGATGAAATAATTTCCAAATAATTTCAATCAGTCAATGTAGACCGTTGCAGGTTTGTACTGTCCAGATGCCACTTGACTGTAAATTAACATGGATGCTATTTATTTGGGGTCAAAAGAGGGTGAGTGTGGCATATTTCCATCCCACTTGTGTAGCTAGCTGTTTTTCTTATCAAAGTCCATTTTTCAAACTAGTCATTTAATTGTTTGCGGATACATGTAAACTAATTGTATAAATATTTATCAAATTCTGCTTCATGATGGTCTCGTCGAGTGTGTGTTTGTGGGTACAGGTATGGATTTTCTATATTTAGCGGTTAGGATTACTGGCTTTCACTCAGGCAGCCCAAGTTGGACTCCCGGCGCGGGAGCGCTTTGTGTGCGTCGGTGGCACAGTGGTTAGGACGCATACCGACCATGCACATGGTCCGGGGTTCGATCTCCTACCGACGCACACCTGATATCAATGGTCGGCCTGCAAATTTAGGCTACCGATATTACATGCTGAAAATTCCATACTTGTGCCAAAATTACCTGTGGTTTCAAGCAATAATCAAAATAAAAAATAAATAAAATTTTTGTGACAAAGTAGGCGATGTAACTCCATGATAGATCTCGTGTTTATTTTTAACACTTTTAGTTCATTGTGTTTATGAAATCAAAGTCACTTGTTGATATTTTGATTATGTTTACAGGATGTCATAAGTGACGTATGAAGATCTTCGTAGCGATTAAGTGTGGTACGAATTTCACCTTACTATTCGTGTAGGTGGTTGAATGATTCCTCTACTCGAAAATACACATACACAATGTAATTATTTTGAAAAACAACTTAATGAGTAAACTTCATGATAAGCATTATAGAATTATATACTGTTTTTTAGTAAACAGCGTAGTGTTCTGGAGATAGCCATTCGAGGTTGTATAGTACCACAAAGTTCTTGATATTTACACTTCTAAATCATCATCTCACTGTCAAATGTTCTACTTGATACTTCAGTATTCAGGTTTGAACACGAGCTGACATGAGTCAGAGGAGTATTGGAAAACCAGCTAGGAGTACTGAACGGGTTTCTCCTCCAGGTTTCTCACTCTTTATCAGTACACCCCACTGCCCTTCGAGCCCGGTAGACTTTGGTTACAAGGCGGATATACAGATGATTCATCAGCCACTGAGATACGATCCAGTGGCCTATGAATTCCAACTTCTGCCTATTTGAAATATGTATAGACCAACAGCTAGTTAGCGTCATTGGCGAGCCATTGTCTGCCTAAGTAACTTGATGGACCTGGCTGGTCACGACTTCACACAAGAACTCCACGGAATTTCCTGTTTGGCGCCAGTCACCAATAAGGCATAAGATTAATTTTCAAGTGTTGGTTCTCGGGAATTCTAATCTCTGTACATTTTTAGTGGATAGGTCTTTTAAGTGGTTAGTCATGATGTTTTGCAATGAACACATCATGCAAAGGAATCACTAGTTTGGATGTCTACTGTAGGGCGACTTTTGAAGATGGGTGTCACTTGTTGAATGCGAGGAAAATTTCATCAAGTACTACATCCTTATGCCAGACAACAAACGTGTCATTTACATTTCTCCTGCAGAGATGAAATCAACCAATACTTTGTCTAAACTGTACGTTGAATGTTCACTCGAATGAGAGTCGTCTAAGTCAGGATGCTGTTTTTCCTGCGTCTAAATTATATATGTCAAGACAGTGGCGCACATAGCACGTGGTTTCTGTGAGAGGTACATTATGGCTTTCTAATATTAAATCCCAGTTGTAGCCTTACAGTTATTGCCCGTCCAACCAAATTTTGGTGTCGCTGTCAGCATTCATATCGTTCACACCACTTTAGCAACCAGTTACCACTCACATGAACCCATATCAATCAATATATGTCGGCATATCAATCGACCATATCAGAATTCCAGTTAAATGAAGGTTATTCAAACCTTCTATCCTGTGATATTCCAAGGTAATTAACATTGGCTACCACAGTTATTCAACGATAACCCGTGCTGTGTTGAAAACAGTTCCAAAATTTTATAAAACGAATTTCAAACATCTTTTCATGTCATCGTTCGACTTATTATTCGGTTGTAATATTCTGTTTTACTTAAGATATAACTGTCATACTTTACAAAGTAAAATGTTTGATCTACCTCGAAAGCTTAGAAGTTCATAGCAGAATCACTAAATATTCAGTATTTATTCATTTCATCATCAGATTATGTGAACCAAGAAGAGATTAGCCAAGAATATATTGTGTTGAAAGAGTGGAGGAAGCGAAAACTCACTCAGCCTGCTGAATATCTTGTTTCGTTGACTGCGCAACGGTAAACAATCCACGGGAATTATTAGCCTACAGCATTCATCACTCAACATCGGATGCTGACCTTCACTGTTTCAGTCTAATCATTGAGCTAAAGTTTCACCATCAGGCACCCACGCCATGCAACACTATCCCTTTTGCTAGCCAATCAATCATCATCGCACTACTATTCTGATGGCAAAATATATTTTGCATTTAGGATGATCAATCGTGTGTTTTAATTTGTGTTTTTGGTTCAAGGAGGACAAATCTTATAGGAGTTGTGGGTATAAGAACTTGAGTTAGTTTGCAGCATATCTTGCGTAAACTTCAACATCCCTTCTTTCCTGTAACTATCTTTTCGCTTCAATGGGGGTCAGACCGACAGATAACATAGATATCGACCCCATAAATGATGTACACTTCTCAAATAGTCTATCTGTAGCAAATCGAATTGAGACAAAGTTCGATTAAAGAGGGTTAATGTGCCTGTAAGTGATTTAACACGCCTATTAGAAATTTTAGAGAGATTGCTGATTGAACAAAGCATATTCTATTCGAAAAATTCCACATCATTTTCTACAGTTCTTTACATGTATAATAACTAAAGAATTATTGTTATTAACAATACTGACGTTTCTTTAAGTAACATTGAATTAATAATAATCATACTGATAAGTGTTTACTTTTACAAACTTTTGACGAAAGAGCATAATCGCCGCCCCATCATCATCCATTAGCCTGCATAATCCTGCCTGCAGTTTCTCCTGTTTTTTTTGCTGGTAGAAAGATTTCTAGAATTTCTATGCCACAATAAGCAACTGCTGCACAAAGATACAACGTTTCAACACCAATTATGAACGCCTGCAGTAGACTTGTAGGATTCCAGTGAAATCGAAATACTTGTACTGTGACGAATGTTATCTATAAATCAGGAAAATAACATCACAAGACAAAAATAATGAATGCTTTATGTCTAGATTAAATTCGATGAAAATCTATTCCATACAAGTATATACTCAGATAGTTTGCACGAAAGGGGTGAATGAATCAATCAGTCAATCAGTTTTCATATCATTCAACCTTTATTTCAGAGTAATTTGTGATTATTTGATTAAACAGTGGACAGTCATTTAAACAAGCTACAAATTCGCTTATGATATCACCAAAGAAAATACAGTGATATTGTGGTGATGAAGAATTTCTGTTACTGGCTTGTTTAGACGTCCATTGTTCTTTGTTATTATCGATCATAATGATAATACAATAAAATAATTCTAAAACAATTAGTCCCTTTTACAAATTTGGATAGTGTTATTAGAAGACGAAGATTATCTGAAAAATATGATGTATTTGCGCTATACATTTCGAACAATCTGACCCCTCCCACATCTACTTGTCAAGTCGATATATATATGAAAAAATTAAGGGCAATCAAATTGAACAAAGTGACAAAATAAAGGTTTTAGAATGATTAACACAACATTTGGTAATGCAATTAAATAAGGATTACCAAGGTAGGTTAAGTGTAATAACAAACTGTTTTTGAACACACAGAGGTTGGGGCTTAGGTTTACGAATAGCTTTAGCCTCAACGTATTTCAATAAGCGCCCTTGACCGCTTTTATGGATGACCTTGTAGGTTTACAGATTAAATGACTCCTTCACCTGTTTGTAGATTTTAAAGGATATCCGTTTTCAACAAGAGTATCCACCAATATAACCCTTTCTTTCTCTATAACACCAGCTGTGCAAATATGTTGAATGCTCTGTGTTGATTGACAAATTGTATCTCTGTATTGTTTAAATACTTACTGTTGATTGTTAATATATTTCTTATATGAATTGATTAATAATTCCGCCAAATACAAATTCCTGAATTCCGCCCTCTCTGTGTTTTGGTTGGATTCTTGTAATTCGGTCATCTCGAAATACTAATACTACTAGTACAAAAAATTACACCTCCTCAATAGACATTTCACCAGGCTTCTCTTATACTTAAATGGACAGAAACTGTGAAAATTAAGGTATTGCTCTGTCCATTTGGGCACTCTAGATTACCAAATGTTGTATTTATCATTCTAAAACCTTTATTTTGTCACTTTGTTCAATTTGATTGCCCTTAAGTTTTTCATATATATATCGACTTGACAAGTAGATGTGTGAGGGGTCAGATTGTTCGAAATGTATAGCGCAAATACATCACATTTTCCATCTTCTGATAACAAATAACTCTGCCAAATACGAATTCCCGACTTCTGTCCTCTTTGTGTTGTTCTCCGATTTCCTGGGATTCGGTCATTGACAATTACAATTATAAAAATAAGTATTGAATTTTGGTGTTCCTATGAGATTTAACAATCTTGAGAGGCATCCTAGCAACAGTTCACCACGACAATTTCCTGATCACCTAAAATATTTTGATGAACAATGTCTATCAGAATATATTAGAGATGAAAACATTTCAGCTGATTTCATTACCGTCATAGTGATAGATTTATACAGTCTACCGAAAACTCTCACATTTCCAGATAAACGGATTTCGCTTCCATCTCACAAGCTCCGTTGACTTCTAGATGACCACTTCTGTGTGCTGTTCAATGAGCTTATTCGTGCTCCTAACTCAAGAAATTCGAGACTTCATTCTTCAGCTTCAGATTGAAGCTTCAGAAATGCAATTTTGGGGATCGGCTTCATACTCAACTATGTGATCGTCTAATTGCTGGGACTAATATTCCTAACGTAGAGACGGAGCTGGTTCGAATTCCTTTACGTTCCCTCATTTATGTTTCCACCCATGAAGATTTTCATGTGAATACTCAGCTCCCATTACATCACTGTCTGATGTGATGCTGTTCAAAGTAGATAATGCAGGTGTTCGTAGGAAGAAATAAAAAGTATCATCGATAATTGATTCATACAGTATTATTAACTGGGAAGGTGTCGAGAAAAATTTTATGGCCCATGACCAAATCAAAGTGCTCACATTACTTTCGATTGTGAAAAACTACTTAATGAGCACACCAGATGATATATATAACACATCGTCAACCAAATCCCCAAGATCATTCTGTTCACAGGAGGCATACAGATCACGTGAAAATTCATGAAATAATGTAGAAATAAATACGATTGATCTAAGTGAAAATACTATTACAGAGTTGGTTAGGAGATCCGCAAGACTCGAAGATGAAATCAGGTGCATTATAAACATACAGACATGATATTTGCGCTATGTAATTGTTCATTGCTGCTCTTTTCTATTTATTACATATACACAATACAAATAATTCTACAAGAATCAGAATTTGTAATTGTTGTCCTCCTCTCATTGTTATTCGGTTTACTGGTATTCAGTTATCGCAGTTTACAATTCATAAAATCAGTATCACAGTCTGACAGTTGACATTAATCGATTTTATTTACTCCAGAATGGAAGAAGAAGAATATACTGACGTTTAATTGCCTGTAAATACTAGATGTCTAACCTTAGTCAAAGACGTCCTCTGCATTCTCTGACCTCTTGAAGCAGATTCTGATGTGTGGATTATCACTTCCGAATGATGAATGATGAGTTCATACTCTTTCTGCTGTTCATTTCTTTATGAATAAATAAGAATCAATAGTCTCAGTGATAATTAAACCCAAATACTTGGTACCTTATGACGATGATATAATCGTAATAGTCAAAAGAAATGATTTGAAATATACCCACAAACTAATTAACAACATATCTGAAGACATTAAAATGACTGGAGTAGAAAAATCAGACAACAAAATTCCATTCTTAGATGGATGTCTCAATACAGACAACTAACACAGGAAAGTTAGAAACACAAGTATACAGAGTAGCTACAGACACAGGTCAAATACTCAGCTATAACAGCAATTATGCAAATGACTCATAAACGAAACTGTATGGAAACATTGTTTAAGAGAGTTCAAGGACATTGTATCACTCCAGTGCTGAAGCGAAAAGAAAAATGAATACCCATATAGTTTAGTGAAAAATATATTTAAACTTAAACTGAAATACCATCATCGAAGACCACACGAAAATTCAACCTACTTTATATAAAGTAGAATATTTCTGAAATAACGGCTAGAATACTAAGACCATTTGAAACAAACATGCCACACAAACAAGCCAGCATAATCACTTCATTGAATATTGCACAGACCAAAAGACTGTCCAGCAGCAAGAGAAGACAAGACCAGTAGCATTTACGAAATAAGTTGCATGAACTTCGATAAACAACACATTGGTCAAAGTGGGTGTCACTTCGAATCAGAATCCAAGATCATAAATTAACTGTGGGAGGACACAATATGAACTCTTTCAGATCGACGATGCATTTAGACAATTATAGACACCATTTTGGTGGGGAGAATGTAGACATTTTAAACAAAGGAAATACAATAAGTAATGCCAGGGTATTTCTAGAGGCCTGCTACTCAAATGAATCAGCGATTAACAGACATATCACTTCCTGTAGATAGAATTTTCTACCTACTGAAGAATAAATCACTTGACAAGAAAGTTTAAATTTCAAGTCAATAAAAATGATCAATAAAGATGTATGTCAACAACCAGTAACGACAGAGGTTGTCAGATGATACTGTTATATCATCACTCATGGAGTATTTGAGAAAAGGTTCACTTCATATCAGAGCTTGCACTGAAGATGTTGTTTAAAGTGGGGACAATGAGTGCTTTGCAATTAAATCGATCAGCTCAGAAGGCTCAATTGAATCGAAATCATCCACCTGAGCCACAAATCTCCTTTATTATATGTCAGCTTACTTACACAGAGTCAGCTGTATTGACTGTACAGACTGCAGTTAGTAATTTCATGTGGATTTTAAGTTTTACTTCGCTTATCATATGATAACGTGCTTGATACTTCGAAATTTTTGTGAATTCATCACTAGATTCGATGTTGAAGGTTAACTACGAGGTCAGAAGACAATATCTCACTTCTACAAATGTCTACGAAATTAGTTTCCGTTCTAAACCAACTACTCTTCACTGTCTACCTCTTCCACTAATGAAATTAACAATAAATATTATTAGTAGGATGGAAATGGGTCATAATCACGTCTGTCTACTTTATATATTGATTTACATCGTCGAACATCTCTGACTGACTTAAGTTTTCTTTATTGAATTTATGCTCGTATGCATGAATCGGTGAATGGTTGTAAATGAAAAATACTCTAACATTTGACTAGTTCGTCAGTGTGCAGCGGTAGGACATCAGGTGTCTTTCGTCAAACAGATTTTCACTTGTAACGGTAGAATACAAGAGTATTTGTCAACGAAATTACTTGTTGACAACTGGATGTACAGATTTAGGCAAAATACGTCTACTGTGCAGTAGAATCACAATTTGCACCTATCGTTAGTGTTCGGATAATTTCTTTTCTCGTATTGTGCTTCTGTGTGTTCCCTTCATGTTTTCCACGTTGTTTCATAATCACAGTTCATTTCCTCTCTTCGCTATTAAATCACTCTCTCTGTACATTATTATATACTCTTGTACATGACGTACATACTTATATCTGCACTTACATACTGCTTAGAAGTCTTGTTAGTAGCATATGGCCCCACAATTTAGGCTATATACAATATCTTTGCATTGAGATTTCTGTTTGCAATTGTTAGTCTCAATTTTGCTTCCTTTGTTTCAATTCCATTATTTCGTAAGTATCTTTCATTTCTCTTCTTCTTCGCAGCCTAATTTGTCGCTGCACCAGTCAAGATACTTGAAGAAATCATCACACTCGGTAAAATACTCACAAACTCTTTTTAATAGCACGCGTACGACAAAAGGAAATAATACTTGTTTAGCAAACAATAAGTTGAAATACTAATGAGTGTTAAACACTGCTTGTTAAAATTATTTCAACAAAAACTTACAGTCGCTATTGCCACAGTAATAATTACGCCCATCGCTAATCTGACCAGATTCTGTGGAGAAGAAACAAACAGTACTGAATTCCTTCGAGGGAAAGACAAAGAAGAACAGCTAACATAGCTCATATAACCAAAATTCTGTGTGATGTTGAGTGGTACTATATAGTACTGACTGACAACCATTCACATCAGACAGTGGTAATGCTTGCTAGGCAGACTGAAGCGGTGTAGAAGATGCCGGATAATTATCTTTCTCGTTTGTGACCGGGCTCATTAACAGTGTATCACGTTCGTCAACTCACCTCAGGGGGCTGAATGAATTCATGCTATCCAAATTCTAGCTAGCTAGTTGGACAACTGGTAATTTATGGGTCAACTAATCTAGATTTTACCATATCTTTGTGCTCTGCTAGTCTGGCTGACCAGGCCTACTATTTTGACCTATGCATTTCAACTGACAATCATTCCGGCAGGGTGTGTGATAAACTAAAGTGTTTTGTTTAATGGGCTCCACAGGATCCTCTAACGGACAAAGTTTGTTTCTAATTGATTTTGTGGCTTTGAATGCCAGCCACTTTTATTCCTGCCGGCATTGTTAAGAATCCTCCTTTAGGTTTCTGAGGTTCCTTCTTTGTATGGAAGTTCTACTGATGATTTAAAATGCTTATGACTGATGCCATTATTCTACGCATGCTTGTAATGTGTCGTCACTATTATTATAAATATCATTATCACTGCCTATTATTGATATCAGTTTTATTTTCATATTTCTCTACATACTTCCTTATTAATTTATCAATGTAATTACTAAGTTTTAGAGCTTTTCTTACACATCCCACTTTCTATTTTGAATTACCCTTGGTACTACTTGGTTTTTGTTCCCTATTACTTAGACTTTTCACTAGTCCTATTTTTACTGACATCGGGTGGGATGAATGTGTAGGCTTTTTGTAATTACTGGTGTTTAACTTCTCATCTCCTTCCCTTTTTATGCTACAATTTAGCATCAGAAGTTCTTATTCCTGACTTTTCAATGCATAAATAATATTCAAGTATCGGTTTGTAGGGGTTTGACTGATTGGTTACAGGATTTCATCATGGGCTGACATTAGTTGGAGAACCATTGGAAAACCAGCTGGAAGTATTGGACAGCTGATTCCTCTGTCCTAGTTTGGGATTCTTCAGCAGCACGCACCCACTGGGGTTCGAACCTAGGACCTCCTGGTCAGAAGGAGAGCTCGTGAACCATGGCTAGCAGTCGCGCTATGTTGTGAATTGGCAGAATTTAGAATTCATGAACTGGCCATTGGATTGGGTCCCAGTGGCTCAATGGTCTACGAGTTCGCCTTGTAACCAGAAGGTCTTGGGTTCGAACCCCGGCGGGTGCGTACTGATGAAGAGTCCTAAACTAGGACATAGGAGACAACTGTCCAGTACTCCCAGCTACTTTTTCAATGATTCTCTAACCAATGTCAGCTCATGATGAAATCTTCTAACCAACATAAATAATATTGTTTCACTGTGTGATATATCTACTATTTAGGAGTTAGTTGGTAGGGATTTGATGTATTTCAAGTTTGCCCACCGACTGGTATCATTTAGAGAACCATTGAAAAGTAGCAGGGAGTACTGAAGAGCTGTTTCTGTATATCTTTATTTGTGATAAACAAATTAGAATGGAATTACATACTACCACAGTGCCCAAGCTTTGTATGTGTATTAGGCTGTGTGATGTTATTTGTGCATGTCGAAAAAGTTGAATGAAAACTCAATTCTTAAAACTACAGTGGTGGTAATAAATTGTTATTTCCTCGTATAGAACTTCTTTATGGTACTGTATACTGGGAATGTTTGGGGACCAGTATTTACAGTGGAATAATAGCCACATGTTATACAACACTAGAAACCATGCAGTTAAATTCCTGGAGGTGCTATTCAACGCCAAAAGGCCATTATGTAAAGATGTAGAATGCATCATCGTGTTACCTGTCTTTTGTTTTTCTCAATTTATCCATGAAGCTCATAGCGAACTATCAGTCAACCAATCAATCACCTAGTGGTGCAGATGACCTGGACTATATTTCTGAAGTATTTCAAAGTGTTTTCCTTGTGAAATTAACTTTTAAAAGAAACTCCCCTATTTTCACATTATGACTGGCTCTATACAGGAGATTACCAGAAGTTCTCATGAGAAGTCAGGACCAGTCGGTCCCACCAACTTAGGAAAGAGAACACTTACCTGTTCAAGACATAGGCTGGGGGTTTAGCTATATATATGTCTTAAATCGGTAGAAGTTAGAATCCATGAAACAACGAGCACGGTCCCGTTTGCTGAACGGTCTGCTAGCTCATCTTTTACCGGAATGTCCTCGGTTGGAATTGTGGTAGGTGTTTACTGCGGAATAGTCACAACTGGGATGGAACAACTGTTCAGTACTTCCTCGCTTCCCCATGGTTCTCTGATTGATGTCCGCTAATTGTCAAACCTGTAACCAATCAAAAGCCTGGAGACCAAGACTTGGCAGTTTTAATGCATAGACTATTTTTCGAATAATTAAGGTTTCTACTATTATCCTCAGCTTCTAATACCAGACATTTTGACATTTGGTAGCAGGAAATATCACAGGAGACATTCGATTTCATTTGGATATTATGAAAGCTAAGATGACAATAATAGTACTCTGTTTTGTTCTGTGAGCTACTGAGCATTGAAAAAGGCAACGTTATTTTGTCGAATTCTGACACTTCCGTGATTATAGGGATCTAGCTGACCTGTGTCACAAAGCGATATATAGAACCAATCGTGAGTAGGCCATCTAAATTTAGAGGTCACCTAGACGTCAAGTTGGACAAATGCGTTTTGGTTAATTTTTGACCATAGGACTTGTGGAGATTTTGCACTAAATTTCGGTTGTTAGATGTTCATGCCGAGCTGATATCAGTTAAAAAGAGATCATTGAAAACCACCCAGGAGCATCAGACAATTGTTTCGTCTTATTCTTAGTTGCCCGGAGATTGAACCTGGAACCTTCATGTTACCATTCAGTCACTTGGGTTGAAATTCAATGATCCCTGAATTCTAACTTCTTCAACTGGTGATATACTGCTGGTAATTGTTAAAAGACTGTACCGAAGTGAAGTAAGTTGATTAGGTATGTAATTATGGCTGCATAATAAAACTACCCAACTGAAAACCTCCCAGTCGTTTTTTCTATTATCACATAATTAAACTGAAATGTACTTACAGGTATAAGAGGAATAAATAAGACGCATATTCCAACAACTATAATTACCAAAGATACTGACGCCATTATGATCAAAGCCACTTTTTTCACTGCCCTTGTCCTGACTCCGAGAATTAATGCTACTGCTGCAATCGCGGTTGCCACAACAAAGACAACTGGTAGATACTTGATTGGAATATAGGCACATAATGTTGCAACAACTTCAGTGTATAGAAGAATCTGTAGAAGTGAAAAAAACAACTTTTTTTCATTGTTCTAATCAGGTACATGTAAAAGATCTGAAAAGCATTTGATCTGTCCCCAGTGGCGGACACATGAAACTACTTCAATGGTCATGGCCACTTCAGTGTGTATTTGTCAATTTATTTGCTCATTTGGAGCAAAGTATATCAGCCATATGTAAGGAAAAGTCCAAAAACGTATTATGAACTATTGTCCAGCTTGGTTAATCAGAGGAGAAAAGAAGAATAGTAGCAGCGTCAGTGCGTCGGTGACACAGTGATTAGGACTGTCGCTGATCATGCACATGGTCTCAGGTTTGATCCCCTGCCAACGTACACCTGATTTCTCTGGTTGGCCTGCAAAATTTGGGCTACCGATATCACATGCTGAAAATTCCATACTTGTACCAAAAATACAGTGTGGAATCAAGATGTAATCAAAAATAATAAATAAATAAATAAAAGCTCTATCCTCGAACACCTTATCATCTCCGGATATCGAGCACCTCCGCATGAATGTTTTACAGAGCTTTACACAGTCCCTCAATATCGTACAAAGGGACTTCGGATTCGCCATGTGTACACATCTGAAGCATTAGCTATTCGAGATCTGAAACCGGACCTCTGCATTCAGAAGCGATACATACATTCTATCGCCCTACCATGGCCAGAGTAAAGTTCTGACTATAGTTTTGCTTCTTTCTTTTATTATGTAAATCCACTATTAATATTATTACTATTAATACTATTGTTTTATTATCATTATTATTCCCATTATCCACATTTTATTACCACTCTATTACTGTTTATTAATAACATTGCTTTTCATACAGATTTTACATAAAAACACTTTATCGTCTTTCCACTAGTTCCTGTCCATTCCACATGAGCTTATTGATTAGTCATTATCTCACACTTATTACATCATGCCGACTTCTGCCTCTTTTCTAACTAACATTTAATCATCCCTTCTAGGTTACACCTAGCATTATGTAATACATTTAATTGAATTTCAAATTTTCCCGTCGATTGATTGGATCGAAGTGCTCGGTCTCAGGTTGACATGTCGGATTCTTGTGCAGATGCTTCGACGATGTTTGGCATGTAATTAGAATTTAATTGGCGGATGGTGACTAGCAGTGGAATCCAGGACGCGAATTTCGTCCTATTTGGGACTCGTCATCTGGATGCACATTGGTTCGAGCCTCGGTGGGAACATCATCATTCACTGAGAAATGCAGGTACATCCAATTGCCGAGTCCCAAATAGGACGAAATGCGCATCCTGGATTCCACTGCTAGCCACCATCCACCAATTAAATAATGTAATACATTTTTCGAGGACAAAGTTTACCAGTATCTCACCGGTCTAAAGATTTCTTTGTTAAATATAACTACAAAATATTGTAAAATGGGAGACAGTGGTGGTGATTAGTCATAACACATTTATAGAGTGTGGGGTAGGAAAATTGACAAGTTGGTTCGAGGTTTTAAAAGGTGTCAGGTGAGTGGCTAGTACAAAGTGGTATGTATTAAACAAGAGGAGATAGTAATACTGCAATGACAGGTTCATCATGAATTAACGAATATGTGAAACGAAACAGGTGGAGGCATATATTGAGAAAAGAGATAATATCACTAGTAATAAGTCGGGATAGTATAAATGAAAAATTCGATAGTATTGAAAGAATGTTTGCATGAAGGGTATATATTATGACGAATAATAATAACTGTAATAATAATATTTGTAATAATAAGGAAAAGAAAAAACCCAAGGTGGTTAAGTGAGAAGAAGAATCATCAATCCAAGTTTGGTCACCATTGTCTCCCATTTTAAAATATAATTACGTTTGTACAACTCGTGAAAATGAATCGTCGGAAAGAAAATTTTCTTCGCTGTTTACGTCTTTTTCTTATAACCTAATAGTCCTTGACTTTTCTCAGTGTACTAAGTGCTTTAATTCGTCAACATACACAACCAGTACACATAAAGTATTCAGTTACATAGTAAAAGCACTACAGTCGTTATTAGAACAGACAAGCTACCTTGTTATCCGTGAACTCAGGAATTATGCATGTAGTGGTATTATGACATTGGTGAACAGTTTTGATTTGCGTATTGATGGTTTAATTTTCTGAGTTCAAACAACCACTCTGACATGTTCATTTATGGCCTTAGTTTCTGAGGGCTTGTGGATATGGCATGCTACATATTTTGTTTAATGATAGCTGTCTTTGTTGTTGTCGTACTGATCGTCGTTTTTCCAGTTTGGCTTTTGTGTCTGTCTCACTATGGTAGATAATTTGAAGCGATCAGTTAGTTATACTGCCGTGTTCTGGAGGCGAATTCTAATCAAGTTAGGTGAACTCAACCTAGTATCATTTCGGCATAAAAGTAGCTAATAATGGATTGGATAGCTACAGATCTATACGCATTAACACACTTAGGACAATCATCTCTGATTCTGATTATCACAGAGCTTTACTTTGTAGCAGATCGTCAAGGTTTTGACTGTTCAACGTGAATCAGTGGATGTAGAATTATTCGTGGGGTATTGAAGCATACTTTGAACACATTCACTGCTTTTCAAGTATCACTTTACAGGATCTGATTTGTTTCAAGTCTGAATACGGATTATTACCAATTAGAGAACCACTAAAAACCGATAGGAGTACTGGACAGCTGTTTCGTAATAATTCCGGACTATTTGACATTTTCCCACCCGAGACCTCACTGGCATTTGAACCCAAGACCTTCTGGTTACAAGGTGAGGCCTTGAAAATTAATCTGATGTTTCATGTTGATTGTCTACAGAACTAAGTTGTCTGGAGTTCTGATGAGATGTCGTAACCAGTAGGGTCCACCAAGTTGGGCGTGAGGATAAATATTCATCGATGATGTTGACTGGTGGTCGTGCTAATATCAATAATAAGTAGAAGTTAGAATTCGGAGCTACTAAATCGGGTCCCGGTGGTTGAATGATTTATGATCTCACTCTGTAACTGGATTGTCCGAGATTCGAATCCTGGCGGTGAGTGTGTACCGCCGATGAGTCCAAAACTAGGATGAAACAGCTGTCTAGTACTGTCTAGCGCTTTTCAATAGTTCTCTAACTGATGTCAATCCGTGGTCAAATGTGAAACATTCACTGATATTGTTTCTTTGCAAAGGAAATGATGAACACCCAACAGAGAGTTACTCATGGATTCCCTTATGCTGAATAGTATCACAACAGCAGGCGATTTTGAAGTTCTGAAACGATTTATCCAGATCACTGGCTAATAGTGTGGATTTTTTCTGCTTTATCTGTGTGTGTACAACACACTGAGTTAAATTTACTTCTGCCAAGTGGGCACAGTAGTACCTCACTGAATCTCATTTTGGTATCATTATAGTCATTTCATTTTGCTTTGATTTTCAGAGAACATTTCGACAGTGTCGCGTTGATGTTTTTGACCACTGACATGTGCATACGCACGATTCAAATTGTATCTCGTTTGGTAGAAGCTGTTGACGAGAAATTTACACAGATTTTATGTCACTTATATCTTCCTGCTAAGTTTTTCAACTCTTTCAACGACTCTTTAATTGAATTCTAGATTTTCCCGTCGATCGATTAGATCGAAGTGCTCGGTCTCAGGCTGACAAGTCGGATTCTTGTGCAGATGCTTCAACGATGTTTGGGCATGTAATTAGAATTTAATTGGCGGATGGTGACTAGCAGTGGAATCCAGGATGCGCATTTCGTCCTATTTGGGACTCGTCAGCTGGATGTGTCTGCATTCCCCAGTGAGTGTTGATGTTCCCAACGAGGCTCTGGAATTTGAAACTATGGGCACTGGATTCCAGATTCGGTGGGAACATAGTCATTCACTTGGGAATGCAGGCACATGCAGCTGACGAGTCTCAAATAGGACGAAATGTGCATCTTGGATTCAACTGCTAGTCACCATCCACCAATCAAATTTTTTGAAAGACTCGTTTGAAGTAATACTAAAACGTCTACGTAAATTTCCCTATACTTGCATGATGTACTCAACTCTTTTATCTTAGGTGTTGTGTGAAGTGTATTCTTTGGCATCATCTTCAGCGTATTAATCACATCACGTGATTGGTATTCTACTCACATCCGAGTTAAATGATAGTGATCCAGGAGTGCGAAAACACCAATGACCTTGAACGCATGCGGTTGGTTGTATAATGGGACCTACCATTATTATAACACCACCGTGAACTCTGTACACGAAATGAGATGCACATTTCATTCCTATCTCGTTTTTAAGTATTACTTGGATAATGGGTTGATAACACATTAGGGTTACGGTTAAGATCAGGGTAATGGTTAGGATAAGTGTTGCGGTTCGAGTTAGGATCAGGGTCAGGATTACAAGGCTTAGCATTACAGCTATCATTTTTCCCAGTATTTTCCTAATAAACAGGTCTAAGGTGCCCATAATTATCATCTGTATTTCTCCAATAAATAAACGTCATTTTCATGGAAAACAGATGCTGGTTTTTGTAACTGGCCACGTCAACGTCAGTCTTGCGTTAGCATTCCTTGAATCACGATTCTTTAACTTTGCCCTACTCACTTGTTTATTGTTCACATATTTACAGTTCTATTTGCTGAAGCAAAGATATTCGGTCTTGCTTGACAGTAAAAGATTTCATCCATCTCAGTTGTACCATGTACTAAACAGTGTCACTATCAAATCAGACTTTCTACGGGTTTTTTCAGTTCTTCTACAATTCGAGTGGAACATACGGTTTCAAGCCGCAAAGTTTCAGTAGCATCAGTGTTGTGCTTTTACAATGTAGGGTTGTAAGCCTTAGTCTTGACCCTCCCTCATTCCTAAGTTTACTGCTAACCAGTTAACTAAGCGATGTGTGGGAGAGTATCAACTGGGACTTCCTACATCTTTACACCAAAACGTCTGTTGTGTACTGAAGACTAGGAACCACCGTTCTATTTTCAGTAATTGAATTTAAACTGTAATATTAACAAAAACTTAGTAGGGAATATTGTGTGGCTTTTTTAAATTCATTAAATGATTTTATGAAGGTTAGTTAGTGCGTCGGTGGTACAGTGGTTAGAACTCTCGCCGACCATGCACATGGTCCGGGGTTCGAGCCTTCGCCGACGCACATCTGATATCTATGGTGGGCCTGCGAAAATTTGGGCTGCCGATATCCATGCTGAAAATTCCATACCTGTACCAAAAATATAGTGTGGAATCAAGTTGTAATCAAAAATAAAATAAAATAAATGATTCTGCCTCATTTTCATTTATTTTTCAAGTCATAATAATAAGCCAAAGAGTGAATCGTTGATTTAACTGTCCCACTGTCAGATTGTGTGTTAGAAAACTGATCTCCTTTCCAGTTGGTAGAACCACAGAGTTCAGGCATATGTCAAATATGTATGCGCTGTTTCACCAAAAAGCATTCTATCATAATGCATCGCTAACTTACTGTTACAGACATAAGAATAAGATTAAGTGGATAAGATGTTTGTACTTTTTTGACCAGGATTATAATCAATGTCAAAAGTACTGCAACGAATCTGAAATAAATGAGAAGAAATAATGTCAATGTGTATAATTCTTTATTAATTATTGATTGAAACACACCAGCGTGATCAACAGTATTCTGAGAATAAATATGTAGTTTAGTTTGATGTTAAAGCGTGCTATACATGAAGGGCATTTCATTCAATAGGATGAATATTTTTCCTTCTGATGTAGAACTCATGTAATATAAATCACTTCTCTCTCACTACATTAAATGCTGGCTAAAACAGGAATAGAATAGAATCTTTCCACCAGGTTGCAGACCTTTATTAACAACTGTCTTCGCTCTATACTGAAGACCAGATGGCCAGGCCGGAAAGAATCACCAACAAGAACAAACAAAACAAGAACCAATCGCCCAACAGATATGCAGGAGAAAGTGGGGATGGATTGGACACTTGCTGAGGAGGCCACCGGGTGACATCGCGCGTCAGGCCATAGCTCGAGTGGAACCCGGAAGAGAAACGACGTGTGGGACGTCGGTGCAAGGGTGACATGGAGGAGATCGTATGAAGAGGAGTTGAAACAGTATGGACTGACATGGATGCAGGTGAAAAGTACAACAGAAGACAGAAGCAAGTGGAGACGGGCAGTTGAAGCCCTATAATAATAATAAAACAGGAAAACTCAGCAAATCCTTCGGAGTGAAGACAGGAGTCAAACAGGGCTGCCGTCTACTATCACCGATGATATTCCTAACTGTAGTGGATTGGATTATGTGGAAGACTCTGAGGAGCGAGAAGATAGGAATAGGCTGGATGAATAAGAAGACTGTAGAAAATATGAACTTCGAAGATGACTTAAGTCAAGTGTCACACAAACTCGATGACGTACAGGTGAGAACCACCAAGTTGTCATAAGAAACAACAAAGACAGAAATTCATGTAAACATAGAGAAGACTCAGGTGATGAAGACAACCAACCAACCAACTACACCCAGCACCAACTATCAACGAAATAAATTTGAAAGACGTCGCTTGCTTCACTTATCTAGTTGGCATCGTTTCCGTTACCGGCAGATGGCAAGGATGCGGTTGTCAAAAGCAGAACCAGAAAGTCAAGACGAACTTCAATCACTCTGAAATCAGTTTAGAAATCTTCTACACTTATCATAAGCAACCCCGCTCCGGATTTTTGCACCAATGTTAAGTCGGTGCTACTTCTATATGGGTGAAAGTCTTAATGGACGTTTCATCAGAAGTATTTCCAATAGCCAGCTGCAGACTGTCATCAACAGCCGCCTTCACTGTCTACATACTGAAGATTAGATGACCAGCTAAAAACAATTAGCAACAGGAAACTTTGGAAACGAACCAATCACGAACCCATCACTCAACAAATATGGCGAAGAAAGTGGAGGTGGAGAGCACACGTTGAAAAGACTGTCGAGTGACATCGCACACAATACATGCCATCTCTCGAGTAGAACTCGAGTTGGAAACGGTGAGTTGAGCTGTATTCTTTGGATGGCTTGGAGGAAATAGTGTGAATAGCAGATGTGAACCTATGGGAAATGGTAAGGCAAGCTGAAGAGGATTGTAGAGAACACGAATAAATGAAGATGTGCTGTCGAAGCCCTGTTTTCCATTCGGAACCCACAAGAATGATAATGATAATAATAAAATGGGAAAGATTCTTATCACTATCATTTGTAGAATCACTGTATATCACCAGCTGGATCTTTTTTCAAATTCAAGGCAGTAAATAGCAGTCGGTGATTCACTAGGTGTCAGTAATCTCGATGCACAGAAGTACTCCAGTATTTTCATGAAAAATCCTTGCAGACATCACCTTTGATTGACATGATACACTAAAAGTATCAAAGATGACCTTATTTAAAGTTGAATACTTCTCCCTATGTTTGATGATTACTAGTAGTGGAATTGTGGATGCACATTTCGTCCTATTTAAGACTCGCCAGCTAGATATACCTGCGTTCCCCAGTGAGTGATCATGTTCCCACTGAGACTCGAACTGTGAAACTCTGCGTTTTACACACTTAAGTATTATCTACAGAATCGGTCAACTGGAAATGTAAATTAACCTAAAGGTAAGTGAATATGTCTCCCTTCAGCTGATTCTTTTACGGATACTTTCCTTGTCAATTTTGATTTTGAAGTAGTTTTCACCGATTTCACGCTGAAACGATGATTAAAATGAGCACTGATTCACTTGTCTAAGTTGTTCTAACAATATGATCTATCTATTGTTTGTGTTAGGAATCAGTACATTTATGAGCTTCTTTTCAGTGTACTTATAATCTGCATGTTAACAGTTAAAATGAATAATTCCGTGTGCATATTTAAATGGAATGTTTCTGGTATTCAACATAGAATATCTTTCAGTTGACTATGCTGCCTCATGGCGGTAAAATACCGCCCAATTTAGCTATTTATCTACCGGAGAAAGCATTATTATCATGATTATTTGACATAAGGACATGAACCTAGCAAGCTTGCTGTTCACTTTCAGTATTAGTTTCATTCAAATAACTTCAATCTAAACGTTAACTATAACTCAGGTATTCAATGATATTAGACGGTTGGAGGCGATCGGGAGGAAGCCCCACCTGATCCAGGTTTCGTGCTAGTTGCCACTCGTCGGCAAGGCATATCTGCAACCTTGAAAGAAACTCATATCCCCTCTGAGATTTGAACCCGTGTCACCCAGTGAGTACTGCAATCAGAGACGTTACCATTGAGCTACTCGGGCTCACGATTAACCTCCTGTAGGACTGTAGTGAGCATTTTGATTGGACACTAGTGACTAATGTGACATGTCTAGTCCTTCCTTTGGTGCACACTGAATTCTATCAACCAGATTTGCAACTAGCGCGAAACCTCAGTCCGAGGATTCCTCCTGATTGCCTCCAACCATCTAATATCATCAAATCAATGTGCACTGTGATGGTGAGCTGCCTAGAATGATGGTCACATAGCAAACCTGACTGATAAAATCCAGTCTGCACCAGAGAAAGCAGTAGGCACGTCACACTAGTTACCGGTGTCCAATCAAAGTACACAGGTGTTCATTTTGTAGGACAAATATATCGGGTTACTTTGTTTAGAATTTTTGACGATTTATTCTCTGCAAACACAAGGTCACAGATTCACAAGTGTTTCCTTAGGTAGTTTAAGTCAGTAATATTCTTGAAAACATTTTTGATCACTTTCCTATTCTATTTGATGTTATATGTGAACATAATGAATGCAAAACTTTATCACAACAATACAAGGACTTTATAAATGACTCACAGAAAGCCAAGTGCCACAACAACTTTTGTATCTTTCCAAAATTCCATCTGTTGTTGACTGCCACTGATAAAAAGTAACTTTGAGGCTATAAATGACCTTACTCTTGCATAAGTATAAAATCATTGAGTATCATTGGTCTCATCAGAAAGCAGCAGTTAACTGTAAAGCAATCAATGTCTGTTACAGGTACAAATAAAAAAAATACAATATGCAATTATGAAGACATTTAATAGAATTTAGTAATTCATGTTCTAAATATTATTTTCCCAAGAAATTTGACAGAAAGTTAATGAAAACAAAACATGTAGATCAGCGAAGAGTCTCTTTTCGGCGAATTCATTTTCTTAGCTGTACAAATGCAAATATACATACGTGTTATTTTGTATGCATGTGTACATTAAGTTTGTCAAACAAAAATACAATTGGTTATGGTTATTTTAACTAGACAGGTGAAGATTGGTAATTGGAGTTACGTAATACAAAATCAGTCAAGAAAATTAGGTGTTAATGAAATTAGGGTAGTAACAAAGGTTATAATAAAGTCATCAAAATCAAATAAAAAAATTGTTACCATGACAGTAGAAATGGCTAGCGGTCGCGCTATGTCGTGAATTGGCAGAAGATAGAATTCAAGGACCATTGGATCGGGTCCCAGTGGCTTAATGGTATACGAGCTCGCCTTGTAACCGGAAGGTCCTGGGTTCGAATCCCAGTGGGTGCGTACTGCTGAAGAGTCCCAAACTAGGACGAAACAGTTGTCCAGTACTCCCAGGTTTCCCAATGGTTCTTTTACTAATGTCAGCTCATGATGAAATTGTATTTTTGTTTGACAAACTTAATGTACACATGCATACAAAATAACACGTATGTATATTTGCGTTTGTACAGCTAAGAAAATGAATTCGCCGAGAAGAGACTCTTCGCTGATCTAAGTGTTTTGTTTTTATTAATGCCTGGTTGGGGATTATCCATGAATTGAAACAGAGAAAGTTAATACCACCCTGGAAACTTTATAAAAGGTCTTTGTGGACAGGTCAGATAATTTGGGTGTCATAATAAGCTACCATATTATTACAGAGGTGTCCAACTATCAGAGGGCATGATATTTTCAAATATCTTGGTGTTAATTTACATAATGAAATCATCTGACACGATAAAACACACAGTGGTCCAGTATTGTTTGCTGATGATGCTTCGAGAGCAATTTATTGCTCATATTATATCATTTAACCTTGATATGAATATGTGGAACACAGATAGAGAGAAATATCTGCAAAACTGTACTGCACAAAGGAGATGCAGCAACTAAATTACTGTCGTCGGAACTCTGAAAAATTACTGGCTACAAAATTCTTTGCTGCAACACTATGTTCAAAATTTACTGCTCGTTGTATCATTCCACACCAGGTTAAGGATAAGCTACTGAGTCTGTCCACTTCTGTGTGCATTTATAAATTTAACTATTCTTGTAGAGACAGTTACATGGGTAGAACGACTCAGTAAGCTCGCTGTCGCCTTCTTGGGCATTTTCCAGCCTAGGTAATTAAAGAAGTCGTAAAGCTAATCAGCGGTTCCATATCCGGACAATTTGTGGATATGCAGCACAAGATTGATGAAAATTCAACCATTACAATTCTATACAAGGTGCCACCTTAATTCGCTGAATTTGTACGAATTTGACTGCAAAGCATTGCTGAGGCGATTGCTATGAAAATTTTCAACCCGATCTCTATGCTCACAATAAGTTTGTTTAATCCGTCTCCCTTCCATGGCCTCCAATCCTGACGTGGAATAGTTATCTCTTCCGGTGACACCGGATAAATGTAAGCATTACTTTTAGCTATACTGATAACTTCATCATCAATATCATATTGTGCTGTAGTTACATATTTTTAATTTGGTTTCACAATTTATTCTTATTATTCCACCTACATTCTACCTGATTATATTTGATTCCTCAGAATTGTAAATTTTAGTCCTTCATCGGCTACTCAAAAGGGACGATGTCATGTGTCTTCAGCATGCATACACAAGTTCACTTGCTTGTTTGGAGCTGAGTACATTGGCCGTATCATGCGTCCGCTTGTAAAACGCGCGCGGGAACACTATTCAGCATGTTAGCAAAGTTAGAAAGCAAACGGGTAACAGTTCGATAACAGAACATCTAGTGAATTCTGAACAGCCAGTCCCACCTGAAAAGTCCTTCAAAGCCATATACAAGATCCGATCCAACCTACCAAAGGGAGTGAAATCAAGTTATCTAGGAATAGAACTGAGGCACCGAAAATTCAAGCCTATTCTGTGTTCAAAAGAAATACGTCCAACCGCTGTCCCTACCATGGCCATCATGAAAAGTCAGTCTCACTAATAATGATTATCCTATTACCTTTCTTGTCCAACCTTTCCATTTATTTCTGTCATATTTACCTTTTCTAAGTCCCTATCTGCATTATTATATTTGATTACTGTTCTTCTCTTTGCATGTCCGAACCCCCTACCCAATTCGTTAATACTACATCCTTAACCCGTAATGATACAAACTGACGAGTTTTCCAGTAATTATAAGCCTATTTTGTTTTTCTACCCGATCTTCTTGATTATTGCACATTAGAATTTTAATTTGACATTTGACCTGAAATATTTCTAGAATAGTGCCACTACCTTTCTATCTTCTGTTCATTACATTTAGTAATTTTATTAATCTGACCTTTAGCCAGAAATAATTCTGGAACTTTCTGACACATTCGATACAAATACACGAATGTACAGCCTAGTTGATGACTTCGTCGAAAAGAAAATTTTCTTCACTGCAACCGTCTTTTTAATAATTCCTATGATCCAGTGTGTATATTCTGTGTCATACTGTGTAGAGTAATAAAGGTTTTCAGTAGGGCAATTAGCAGTGGTGGTGGTGTCGCACTTAGTCAGCTCGTAACTACTTCAGTCGACATACATCTGCATTCATGCGAGAAATGGTCTTAATCTATATTGGCTGACTCATTTCAACACCCTCGCTATTCACAACTTACCCCATACATCTCATCAGATAGGACTAGAAGTCATTATAAAAGATGATGTGCTCTTACAACCAAGTACAAAAACTGAATAATACCCTATCTGGACTGCGGTTCCTAGTGGAACATAGGGCTTCAACTGCACGTCTCCATTTGCTTCTGTCTTCTGCTGTACTTTTCACCTGAATCCATGTTAGTCCATATTCTTTCAACTCCTCTTCACACGATCTCCTCCATGTCACCCTTGCAGACGTCCCACACGCCGCTTCCCTTTCGGGTTCCACTCGAGGGCATGACGCGCGATGTCACCCAGCGGTCTCCTCAGTGAGTGTCCGATCCATCTCCACTTTCTCCTGCATATTTGTTGGGTGATTGGTTCTTGCTTTGTTTGTTCCCATAGTTCCTTGTTGGTGATTCTTTTCGGCCCGGCCATCTGATATTCAGTATAGAGCGAAGACAGTTGTTAATAAAGGTCTGCAACAGGCTGTTGGAAATATTCTTTGTGACCCACCCGCCAAGTTTCTGATCCGTAGAGAAGAACTGATTTTACGTTTGTATTGAAAATCCGAATTTTGTTGTTGATGCTGAGTGAGTGACGAAGATTTCCAGATTGGTTTCAGGTTGATGATGAATGTGTTTCTCGCCTTCCCGATTCTCGCTCGATTTGACATCCTCGTCCGTTCCGACTGGCTGTAGTTGAGACAATGCTCCCTAGATAAGTGAATGAATGAAGTAACCTCTTTCAAATCCCTCCCGTTGATGGTGATTGACGCTGGATGTTGCTGTTGTTGTTGTTGGTTGGTTATTTTCATAACCTCCGTCTTGTCTATGTTCACCTGGAGTCCTGTCTTCGCTGGCTGCTTCTTCGACCAGTTTGTCGGTTTTCGCTTGTAAGTCTTCGATTTGTGTGACATCAAACATAAATCATCCACGCGCGAAATCCAGGTCTTCTAGGTTCTTCACGTCGGTCCAGGATATTCCTGTCTTCTCGTTTCCCACTGTCTGACGCATAATCCAGTCCACCACAATTAGGAATATCATTGGTGATAATAAGCACCCTTGTCTGACTCCTGTGTTTACTCCAAACGCCTCGCTGAGTTTTCCGTTGTGGATCACTTGACATGTGCCGTTGTCGTACAGCTGTTGAATAAGGTTGATGAATATTTGGGGTACGCCATAGTACTCGAGTAATTTCCAAATTACTTCACGATCAACGCTGTCGAAGGCCTTCTCAAAGTCTATAAAGTTGAGGTAGAGGTTTGATTGCCATTCCATGCTTTGTTCTGTGATGATGATGCGTAGAGTTGCAATTTGGTCAGTACATGATTTGCCTTTCCTGAATCCAGCTTGTTCTGGTCGGAGTTCTGTCTCCAGTGCGTCCTTTAATCTCTCCAGGATGATGCGACTCAGGATTTTACTTGGCGTCGACAGGAGCATGATTCCTCGCCAGTTCTTGCAGAGTCCTAAGTCGCCCTTCTTTGGTAGTTTCACGAGGTAACCTTTCCTCCAGTCAGTAGGCACCTTTCCCTCCTTCCAGACCTTTTGCAATAATGGAGTCAGCATGTCTGCTGTCGTCTCTGGGTCGCTTTCAGTGCTTCAGGGGGTATTCCATCTGGTCCGGCTGCTTTTCCAGCTTTCAGAAGCTTGATTGCATTCAAGACTTCAGCTCTCGTTGGAGGATTGGTGTCAACTTGCAGTTGTGTGCGCGCTGTTGTTGGTATTTCTGGACGGGTTGCAGGTGATGGTCGGTTCAAGAGTCCTTTGAAGTGATCCGCCCATTGTTTAATCTGTTTTTCTTCCTTGGTAATTGGGTTCCCTTGGCTGTCTTTTATAGGTTTCGCTTGTGTTGATCTCTTCCCGGATAGAGATTTGGTTATCTGATATAGTGTCCTCAGGTCCCTTTTGCCTGCTGCCTTCTCAGCTTCAGTGGCCAGGTTGTCGTAGAATCGTCTTTTGTCCTTCCTAGCACTCTTCTTCACTTCTTTGTCCAGTGCTTTGTAAGTTGAGCTCAGCGTCTCCTTCTCCTGTCCGTCCTTGCATTGAATCATTTTCTCTTTCACCATTCTCCTCTCTTCTATTAATTTCCAAGTGTCCGTTGAGAGCCATTCCTTGTCTTGTCTCTTCTTTCTTCCTAGAACCGTTGAACACGTTTCGTTGAGAATCGCCTTCAGAGACTTCCAATGTTCTTCCACGCATGATTCTTCAGTGATGTCGCGTAGTGTTTCCTGCTTTGCTCTGACAGTTGCAGTGAAAGTGTCTTTTGTGGTTGTGTCCTTCAGTTTGAGTGTTGAACTTGCATTGTGGCCTATCCCCAGCTATCCTCGAGGCTTTTAGTTTCACCTTGAAAGTCCCTTGTACTAGATAGTGGTCTGAACCCACATCTGCTCCTCTCCTTGACCTTGTGTCCAGTAGGCTCCGTCTCCACTTTCTTGAAATTGAGATGAAGTCTATTTGGTTCTTGGTGTTTCCATCTGGTGAAATCCATGTCGTCTTGTGTATATCCTTGTGTTTGAACACACTACCACCAATCACCAAATCATTGAAGGCGCAGAAGTCTGAGAAGAGTTCACCATTGTCGTTCATTTCACCGAGGGCCTCACGACCCATGGTGAGTTCTCTTCCTGTGTTGTCTCCTCCCAGCTTCGCATTCATGTCGCCCATCAGGATTTTGATATCGCCATTTGGGACGTTGTCCATTATTGCTTGTAGTTGTCTGTAGAACGCCTCCTTCTTCTCTTGTTCTGAGACGTTTGTAGGCGCATAGCATTGAATGACTGTAACTTTCCTTCCTTTTGAGTTGAACCTGGCTGTCATTATCCTGGAGGAGATTGGTTCCCACTGCATGAGAGCTTTGGCTGCTGTTGGTGACATCATGATGGCCACTCCCTCGGTGTGCTCGTGGTTGTCCTCTGGGTGGCCGGAATAGATTACTGTCTCTCCAGTAGGTAGTTGGCACCTTCCAGTTCCGTTCCATCTGCTTTCGCAGATTCCCAACACTTCTATTCTGTACCTTCTCATTTCAGCGGCTATCTGGGCAGCCTTTCCAGTTTCGTACATTGTACGAACATTCCAGGTACCCATCCTTACTTTTGCTTTCATCGAAAGAAGGCACATCGGCTGACTGGCTTCCCGAAGGCTTTCACCAGCCTGCGTCATTTCACTTCCCCGATTCCAGCGAAAAATAAGGCTATTGCTTATGTTTTTAGAATTTTTAATATATTTATTCGTTGAAGTTTCTGTAGCGATTTGGTTGTTTTACAGGGGTGGAGTTGCTAGCACCACGCCCCAACCCTCCCTCTTTACCCGGGCTTGGGACCGGCTAGAAAACTAGTAAGCTAGTAGCCTAGCAAGCTAGTAATCTGGCGCAGTTATTTGTAATGTATGGAGGCATTAATTTAACAATTCCCATTGTAACATTAAGAACACAATATTCAGCGAAGAGACTCTTTTCAACGAATATATTATTGAGCTGTACAATCGTGTTTAAATATATATGGTTCTTAAGAAATTATATCCGGTGAGGGAATTAGGTCAAAGGTGTGAATACATGAAATAATAATAATAATAGTAGTATGAAATGCAATTAAAATATTTGTGATAATAATCATAGTCTAGTGTCAAGTGGCAAAATAATTAATATCATATATAGAATAATAAATAAGGTGTATAGATTTTGGAAAAGGGTACATAATTATAGGATTAGTAGACGTTCACTAGCCGCAAGTTGTTCTCTACTTCTATAATGGATAAGCTCCCTTATCTGGCCGCCTCCACGTGCATCTATCAGTTCACCTGCTTTTGTGGAGCAAAGTAAATTGGTTGCAGTCAGAGGACACTTTCTACACGGATACGAGAAGATATTCCAGCATGGTTGTACAAGGGAGAAAGGAAGTGTGTGCGAGGTTCTATTCTGGAACACCTGATCGACTTCTGTCACTCGGTCAACCCTGACCATGATTTCAAGATCATATATACAATCCATGCTAACTTCCCGCGTTTTCTTCGTTACAGACTTCTAAAGACAACTAAAGCCTTGGCAATTCATGACTTTAAGCCAGACCTTTGTGTACAACAGAAGTATGTACAATTCCTACTTCTGCCTTGGTCATAGAGGGATAGGCATTTTGATAGTGTTATTAGAAGACGGAGACTATCTGAAAAATGTGATGTATTAGCGCTATACATTTCGAACAATCTGATCACACATTTACTTGTCAAGTCAATATATATAGAAAGGTTAAATTAAACAAAGTGAGAGAAAACGGAATTAAGAATAATTAACACAAACGTTTGGTAATCCAATCAAATAAGGATTACCAAGGTAGTTTAAGAGTAATGACAAACTGTTTTTGAATACACAAGGGGGGCTTAAGTCTATGAATAGCTATAGCCTCAGCGTATTTCAGTAAACGCCCTTGACCGTTTTTATAGATGACCTTAAAGGCTTAGTTAACATCAATCTTATGGTTCATCTCGATTAGATGTTTAGCTATAGACGAATTTGTTAGTCTGTCACCTGCATCTATTAGCTTGTCACAATTCATCTGTTTTTCTAACCATTTTGGGATGTGCTCTCCCACCCTCACATGCAAAGCGCGATTACCTCTCCCTATGTATGTATGACCACACACACACGGAAATTGGTAAATAGTGTGGGATGTGACATATTCACTTGTGCACTTTTGAGGTTTACAGTGGAGCATATTATTGGCTTTATGGACAATTACAAGGTGGGCTGCATAGTAGGTTCTACGGATGATTGAATTCAACCTTTGTCTCACAATCCTACTGTTTATTTCCCCATTATATGGTAATTTGATAAAAACCTTTTTCTTAGGGACGGTATGGATTGTAGGTTTAGAGGCTAGTTGACTTCTACACCTGTCTAAAAATTTCAAAGGATATCCGTTTTCAACAAGAGTATCCATTAATATTTCGTTTTCTCTGTCCATAAAATCAGCCGTGCAAATACGCTGAATCCTCTTCAATAGACACTTCACCAAGCCCCTCTTATACTGTGATGGACAGAAGCTGTGAAAATTAAGGTATTGCCCTGTCCAAGTGGGCTTTCTGTAGATAGACCGTCTTATTGAGCCATCATCTCTTCGACTCAGAAGTATGTCTAAAAATGCTAGTTGGTTGCGACTTTCTTCCTCACATGTAAGACTAATATGATTTTGTACAGAGTTAAGTCTGTCTAATAGGCGACTCGCATCTTCATGATCGTCACATATCAAAATGATATCATCTACATATCTCCTATAAAAGGGCAATTTTGAAATTAAATCAAGGGATAAGTTTTCAACATAAGACATGTACACGTCCGCTAACAAAGGCATTTATTTATTTTGTTTATTGAGTTATTCTATGTACTATTATTATTACGATTATTATTATTACTATTCTTACTCTGAATATTTTCCACTTGACCCACTTGTCATTTTAAACCCAAAATTATTAATTTTTTTATTTTTTATTTTTACAATATTGAATTCTATCTTATCAAATTTCACACCATGTTATGTAACATTTTATATTCATCTACTAATCTTATAATTATGTACCCCTTTCCAAAATCTATACACCTTATTTATTATTCTATATATGATATTAATTATTTTGCCACTTGACACTAGACTATGATTATTATCACAAATATTTTAATTGCATTTCATACTACTATTATTATTATTATTTCATGTATTCACACCTTTGACCTAATTCCCTCACCGGATATAATTTCTTAAGAACCATATATATTTAAACACGATTGTACAGCTTAATAATATATTCGTTGAAAAGAGTCTCTTCGCTGAATATTGTGTTCTTTCTTATGGAGACATTGTTTCAATTTCTTGTAATCTTAGTTATCAACATTATTATTATTATTATTATGTCTACACTTTTTGTACATATCTGAATTTATTGTTACTGCTAATACCAAGAAGATGCTGTTATCAATTTCGGTTAGCTATACCCTGTAATTTTCATTTTTTTGTCGAGTAAATTAGATGCAGTACTGTAGGAAATGCTTAGAATTCCATGCTGTACCACAAATACTCTCTTGTAATAAAGCAATATATTACTATTATTACTACACTACCTCTCATTCAGTCATTTGGAAATACACATTTCCAATATTAATACGTGAGTTCTCATGAAATAACCAGTTAGGGTGAAGAACAGTCTGCTAGGAAATTGTCAAGTGTTGATTACTGTTAACCTTATTCGTGTGGAAATTCAGCGTATATAACAGATTCCTATAATATTATGCGCTATTCTCCTATCAGTAAACATGACGCAATCATATGTTTCACTTTAAACATAACTGTACGACGATAAAACTCAAAATAAATAGTTACATCATAAAATATATGTAATATAAGTTGAGAAACTTACAGAATTTAACTGATGGTTTCAGAAATATTTTACTATTACCTATTTATAAAAGATGTGATTCACTGAATCTTAAGAATTTCAGAATTGAACTTTGATAAAGAATCAAATTCTGAAAACTCTGACGATAAATCAATCACGCGTTTGAATCCTATTAAGTGTTGACGAATGAAGATTGTTTTCCACCTACGCAGTCGGTATTTCTTGCTCAGGACAGACATTCACCAACTCAACTAGAAATCAGGAATCACGTCTTTATCGTTCAATGAGATAAATATACAAACTACCTACCCCTTGAAATCACTTCTTTTGAAGATCTCAAAACGTTTAAGCTAGGCTGAGTGATATGATTTCTTTTTGAGGATGTAACATGACATCCAAAGAGAAACACAAGTACCTTCTTATCAGGTAAGTTATTTTTTTTATTGTCTGACGTTTATCAATGTTTGTTTTATCGATTTCCAACCGATTTAAATCTTCTTTTAGCCTGCCTCTTTCGTCTTTTGATGTGTTTATTAAAGAAAAGACGTTCAGCGAAGGGTTATTCTTTTCAGCGATATCCTTCTCGAGCTGTACAGTCACAAATAGATAGTAAATTTTCTAAAGATTTTTCATTCGAATTGCATAGCTTAGATAACAAATTTCGTTAATTGGTTAGAAAACAAGATGAAATAAGCAAGTTGAGTGACGTAATCTGATTGGTGGCGTTGAATAGAGCTCAAATAAAATTAAAATTGAATAAAAGTCAAATTGACAACAGTGCTAGTAATTGGTAGAGATTGAATAAGGGATGGGGGAAGAAAATATTACATGATTAAGAAACAGACAAGCAAGAAAAAGACGAAACAATAATTACGTATTTGGTGTTAAGATAGGTCAGGTCCATTGTAGATTTAACGACTGAACAAACTTCTCCTTTTTTGTATGCAGAGTTCACGATTTAACATGTGAATTGCCACCATTGCTTCAGTCGCTTGAATTAGTTTGATTCGTACACTTTTAGCAAGATTTCCACGTATTCTGTAAACAAATTTGAAGTTACTTTGTGGGTTAGTTTGGTGTCTTGATTCGATCAGGTGTTCCAGAAAAGAGTTTTTGGGGAACCTGTTTTCTTCTTCATAAAACAATGAGGGTAAGTTTTCAATGATACCTATGGATAGCAAACACTGGGTACAGCGTTTCTACCCAATTAACGCTTTCTACATCACGTGATTTGTTATCTAAAATTTACAATTCTAATGACCCATCTATGGAAATATTCCTTTAGTTGCTAAGACAATTTACCATATACATGCGATCGTACAGCTCGGGAATTTTTTTTTTTCCTTCACGTTCCCCAGTGGAACATAGGGCTTCAAGCTAGTGGCTTGAAGTTTCTGTAGCAGTGGTCTTTATTTTTACAGGATGGGTTTGCTAGCCCCATGCCCAACCTTTACTCTTTACCAGCATTATTTCTGGTTTAGCGAGGTAAAGGAGTACGTCGACTGGGGATCGAACCCCGACCATGTGCATGGTCGGCGAGCGTCCTAACCGCTATGCCAGTCCCCAGCTCGAGAATGATATCAACGAAAAGAGTAACCGTTGGCTGAACACCATTTCTTCTCTATGACTCAATGGGAATTTTATGTTATTTTTCAGCAGACTCATGAAATCGTTTTGCATCGAGTTTCTATTAAGTGCAATGCAATCTCTGGCTTGCTTCCAAAGCTACTGGGATTTTATGAAGTTATTAGCAGGCATTCTGTCGAACTCAAGTAATCAATATTTCAGTGGCAAAATTTCCATCAAGTTATTATCCAACAATTTCGATTTCTTCACTTTCTACAACTCTGTATTTCGTCTTGTAACATGTAAACATATTCATGCAGAACAGTAGCTCATTGTGAAGAAAAGCGATCTCATCACCAGTTTGTTACTACAGTCACTCATATTTTACCTCTTACTAATGAAATACTTGAAAATTGATCTAGTGGTCACTAGCGGCTGGTCTCATTCAGGTATTTACCTGGGGTTCTAGTGGAAGCCGTGTTCAGTAGGGTGCAGCAGGTTGAAGGTGAGTCAGTAGCTCATTAAAGAATAGATTGCGAAGTGGTCGCGCTATGTCACGATCTAACAGAAATTAGAATTCATGAGCTAACCACTGGATCGTGTCCCAGTGGCTTAAAGGTCTACGAGGTCGCCTTGTAACCATAAGGTTCTGAGTTCGAACCCTATCGGTAAGCGCGTGCTGCTGAATAGTCTCAAACTAGCCTGAAAAAACAGCTACTCAATACTCCCAGACTTTCCAATGGTCCCCTAACTGGTATCAGCTCATGATGAAGTCCTCCAACCAATGAAATTGAAGATAGAAAACGATGAATATTGAAGAGAATGTAAGGCATCTTTTAATATATGTGTAAAACTCAAGTAATATATATATGTAAATTCAAGTAAAACTCAAGTTTTGAAGTCGTGTGATTATAACTGTTGAAATGATTATGGACAATAAATTTCGTTTGAAACGTCACCCAGTAAATAATACTGTCTCACTGTGTGATACATCTAATAAACAAACATATATTATAAGGCATCTTTTGCTTATATTCAGGTACACACGTTACTATATTCAAAAACGATTATTTCTTTATATCTCCTTGGTAATAGATTTTCTGAAAATCTGACATATATTGTGTGTTGATGAGTTGCTTTAGCCCTTATACTTTGATAAAGCTATTAGCATTAAATAGCGAAACGTCAGTAAAAACAACATCGTTTTGTTTTTCATTCATTGGGAAATACAAAAAACCTTTATTATAATGCTTTAGTCCTTGTTTAAATTTTTCTGTGAAGATATCCAAGCAACGTTACATTCCGCTGCCCTGGAACTCATTTAACACTTCAATCATTGAAGTGTTCTGATTTATCTTTATTGCTTACAGGTTTTCTTTTCTTCACTAACGTTCCAATAATTTATCTAAATATCTGTATGCTTTCCAGTAAATTATCAAGTGTTGATTTGCCGGGATTTCATTGGTTACAGGTTTGATTGCAAGCTGGTTTCAGTCAGAGAACCATTAGAAAACCTAGGGGTACTGGAGAACCTTTAAGTTACAAGAGGAGCTTGTAGGCGATTCAGCCAACCTGATCTGATCAAATGGTTCATGAACAACAACTTCTGCCGATTCTCAATATGTGCAGTGCGACTACCAGTTACTGTCAATGGAGAGTAAATGTTCCCTAACCTGACTTCGTTGACTCAGCTGATCAAACAAGTTACCAATTAAGTCCCTGGAACCCAACACTTGATAATTAATCTGATGCTCACCAGCTACTGTCTAGTTCTAGTCGGGGATCGTAATCAGTTGGGTTCACTAAGTCAGGTAAGAGAACATTTGCTGACTTAGGACATTGGCTAGCGGGTGGGGTATATGTAGAGAGGGAATCTCTAGAAGTTGGAATTCAAGGGCCATGTGATCGGATCCCAGTTGCTTAATGGTCGTCTACGAGCTCACCTTGTAACATAAATGTCTTGGGTTTAAAACGGGGTGTGCTCGTACTGGCGAAGAGTCTCTAACTAATACGAAACAGCTATCCAGTCCTCCCTAATGGTTTCCCAATGGTTCTCCAACCGATGTCAGCTCACGATGAGATACTGTGACCAATCAAATTGCCGCAAACCGACACTTGAATTACAAATAAGTTGTGGTGATTGACAATTTCTATCTCTCTATTGTTTAAATACTTACTGTTGATTGTTAATATGTTTCTTATATGAATTGAATAATAATTCAGCTAAATACAAATTCCTGAATTCCGCCCTCTCTGTGTTTTGGTTGGATTCTTGTATTTCGGTCATCTTGAAATACTAATACTACGCTTACAATAAATTACTAGAAATTGGCGTCGCGATGGAACTAAATAACCTGGGAAAATTTCCTCTTAATGGTTCTCCGCTGGAGATTGCTGATTACCTTGAATGCTTTGATGCATGGTGCATTTCAAAGAACGTTCGGGATGACAAAATTCCAGCTCATTTCATTACTGCTATTGGGCTAGATGCATATAGCCTAGTAAAGACTCTGTCGTTTCCAGATAAACCCATTTCTCTGTCATATGACAAGATTCGTGAACTTCTGATAAATCACTTTCGTGTAACTACTTTTGAGACAAGAGAGAGGGCTCAATTCAATAAACTGGTTCGTGCTCCCAACCAGAATATTAGAGACTTTATTCTGCAACTCCAAATACAAGCTTCAAAGTGTAACTTTGGTGATCAGCTGCATACTCAACTACGTGATCGTCTAATTGCTGGAATCAACATTCCCAAGTTAGAGAAAGAGTTAATTCAGATTCCTTCTTGTACCTTTCAAACTGCAAAAGATTTATGTATTACATATGAAGATGTCAACAGTGAATACTCTGCTCCCACTACGTCAGTGTCTGATGTCATGTTGTCCAAAGTCGAAAATACAAGTGTTCATGGAAAGCAATCCAAACTGTCGTCCACAGGTAATAGAGTGCAGCGAGAGATCAAAAACATTAAACCGTGTTTATCCTGTGGAAAGTTACATCTACGAAGCACTTGGCGATTTCGGGGTGCTAAGTGTCACAAATGTGGTAAAGTTGGACACACCAAGGCTGTTTGCAGAAGTTCGAACACTTATGTTACTCAGAATTCTTATAATTCTCCCAATCTGTCTAGTAAAATGGAGTCAATGTGTCTTTCAACTTTTCAAAATACTCAATCTCATCCAATGGAAGCCTCCACTACAAGTTCGGCAACTCAAGTGTCAACTGTTTTCAAAAATGTGGTATCCGAGTTACAATGAGAACTGTCGAAAACACGAAAAAACTGAATGAGATGAGAGAGCAACTGATTAAAATGGAGGAATTACTGCATATGCATAGACTGCGTCTGTTGAATGAAGAGCATACAAGTACCCGTGAAAGTCCTGCAAAACTTTTCAAATCTCGAATTCTCAAAAAGCATCTGATGTCCACGACTTCTAATGTACATTATTACAAAGGTAATGACTATAGACCTTCTGTTGGAATTATACTACAAAAAATGGGAAATCGAGTGGTGAAGATATTAGACATCAAAGATCACTCAGTTCATAACGGACATCTGGACAAAGTGACAATAAATGAAGTAGGTCGTTCCAATTATAATATTAATGATTCCGTTACTAATCCCGATTTTGTAGATAATTCAGAAATAGGTCCAGATAATGCTGATGAA